TTCCCTAAAATCCTTTATTTTTCAGTTTTTATTTTGGAGTTTAAAGGCTTCTAAAATCGTTGGGATATTTATCTTAATTTTTTTTTTATTTGCTTGAACCTCGTTAAAGGTGTTTAAGGCTACAGGTGATAAACATATAGAATTTTACTAAACGCGATTTAATACCCAACATTCAGAAATTGATGAAGTTAATAATTTCTAAATGCCACTCAAATTTGACCATTCTTGTGCTAAATTAGACAGCGCCTTCGTGGATGAACCATCTTCGCTTAGGGCTTCAGCAGCAGCATCCTTCAACACTTCAGTTCTTCTTCGAAGTTCTCTGCCTTCATCACTTTCCATTACAATCTTCACAACTTTGGCAACTTCCTCTCTCTCCACAATGCCATTTTTATTCTCATCACCTCTCGGCCTCACTCCAACCTTAAACTGCTCAGTTATCATTACTGCGTTCATCCCCTGCTCTGCAAATAATGGCCACACAATCATTGGCTTACCATAGACGATAGCCTCAAGAGTTGAGTTCCAACCACAGTGAGTCAAGAATCCTCCAGTAGATTCGTGACTCAAAACTTCAATTTGTGGGGCCCATGATGGGACCACAAAACCTTGACCCTTGGTTCTATCGATGAACCCTTTTGGCAAGTAGTCAAGTGGGTCCTCTTTTTGTGCACTCAAATAAGCCGAATTAGCCAAGCCACTCGGAGCCCTCACAACCCACAAGAACTTATGGCCACTCATCTCTAATCCTAAGGCTAGCTCGTCAAGCTGGTCCTGTGACAATGTTCCACCACTACCAAAAGAGACGTACAGAACTGAGTTTCGTGGTTGATTTCCCAACCATGTTAAACACTCTGAATTAGACCCACTTACGTTTGTGGATCTTGTCCGCAAAATAGGCCCCACATGACAAACTCGAGGGTAGTCATGATCACTTTCTAGTAGAGCGGTTATTACGTCTCGTTCCAAATCCACGAAGCTGTTCACTACAATACCATCTAGTAAACGAAGTTTTTGGCAAGCGAGAAGGACTATTTTGTAGGCTTCACTTGATCTTTCTTGAACTGGACTTGGGAGATCCTTCCCTTGAAAACTTATGCAACCTGCAAAAATTTTCGGATGCTATTAATTTTCTAGAATTCTCCATCGTGTATTTATTATAAAACGCTTTCTAAAAAATATTGATAGGCCTTAATTATAAATTACTTTTTTTTCAATATTATCTCTATTTAAATTTATTAACTATGAGAAAGAATATAATAAAAATTTTTATTTAAACATATTTTTCAAACAAAGTTAATAACTGAATCATCCTCCTTGATTCTAATGAGGTAATTTAGAGTTGACTTACCCCCTCTAGTCCATAATATAAAACAAAATTAACTAAATTTGTGCCTATTAAAAGATGCTAGTTGTAACCTTGAAATTATAAAAAAATGTAAAATTTTCAATTTTACCCTTATTTATAATTAATAACCAAAATCAACTGTTATTTAGGAATTTAAATAATAACGAATAAAAAGGGATAAAATTGAAAAAAATTATTCGATTCAACATGCACCATTTCACCAAAACAACAGCTTTTTGGTATGAGAACTCAACATCATGAAGTAGTTAAGTGACTTAATTCATATTTTCCCCGGGGGGGGGGGGGGGGGGGCTTTGCAACCTGGTAGCTTCAAGGGTTGTGACAAGTCTCGGAACCCAGTAGGAACCATCTCGTGATCCTCATCAAGCTCTGGAAAATGGAAGCAGAAAAAGAGTGAAGTGGATGATGAAGGATACAAAAAATATGACTTGAGTTCAAATTCTTTTGCTATGTCTAATGCAGCCACCGAGAAGAAATCAAGAACCATAGCAACAAGGTGATGATGATGAGTTGGAGAACCGAAGAAAGAGCTCATCAAAGCGTTACGAAGAGATGGAAGAGAGAGAGTCACTGTGTTGTAGATCTGTGTTTCGGGGTCCTGAGCTTTGAGGTCTTCCATGTTGATTTGTGGAAGAATAGTGAAATCTATCTGTGGTGGGAGAGATTCGAATATGGAATGCGTAGTTGGGGAAGGAGGGCCGAGTGTAGGGATGAAGAAAGTGATGTGGAAGTGAGGGTGGTGAGCGACGAGTCGTTTTGAGAACTCAATGGGTGGAAGAAGATGACTAAAACCTGGTGATGGAACCATGGCAATGCAAGGGTTCTTTCTCTCCATGGAAGAGAAACTAAGCAAACAGATCACACTTTTCTTAATGATATAGATGGATTTCTATTGATCGATTTTTATATAGGATTTCTCTTAAAAAGTTTTAGCTTTCTTTATTTTCCCGTTTTTTAAATAAAAAAGAAAAACGATTTTTATTTGTACTAATATTGACGATTCATGTCTAAAGTTGTACCAACAAAGGGGGAAAAAAGAAGATACAACGTATACGAGGCCCACATGAATTAACGATAAGGTTTGTCATAAATTTTCATTATCTCACGTAAAACTAAGTTATATATCCTTACTATGAGATCTCTATGTTACTCTTTTTTATTCTATCACATGGTATTCTAAAAAGTTTAAAAATATTACCATCACTTGTTTAAACTAATTTGAAATGTTATTACGAATGGTTGTTTCATGGATACTTTGAAGATACATTTAAAATTTTTATTTAACATAATTACATATCAAAGTATAATAGTCTAGTGATTACAAAATATTTTGAGTAACTAAAAGGTGGTGGGTTCAAGTCTTATCTTGGTCATCCTCTAACAAATTTCCTTTGTTTCCACCCAAATCCCTCGTCACGGCATTCACAAATTACATCAGGAAAATATTATCTAGGGATCCTTGTAGCATTTTAATATCAAGAAGGATCTTAAAAATCCAAAATATCACTATACTCGCAGGACATGTCTAAAAATAAGATTTTGGGAGAAAAAACCTAATTACCCTTATAGTGTTTTATAAGTTTTTCTTCTATATAAACAACAAAGCATTTGATTATTGACAAATTACCATATGTAATTAACAATTGGACATTTATTCATGAACAAATTACAAAAATTGATAAATCTAGTTTATTGTTTATAGTTGAATGGCAACTTGTTGATAGCCTAATAGTTTGTTATTTATACTGGAGTAAGACTTGTACAATTAAACAAAGTATATTAGTTTTCTGTTAATTACGTAAAGTAACTTGTCAATAGCATAATAATTTGTTACTTATACCGAACAAGACGTGCAAAACACAACAAGGGTGATTAGATCTTTTCTCCAAAATGTTATTTTCAAATTGGTCCCAAAAGGGTGTTGTGATATATTTCAAATTTTTAGAGTCATTTTTTACTATTAAAACGCTACAAATGTTTGATTGTTAATTACATAAAATAACTTGTCAATAGCATAATACTTTGCTATTTATACTGGAACATGACTTGTAAAACACAGTAGGGGTGATTAGATCTTTTCCCCAAAATATTATTTTCAGATTGGTCCCAGAGGATGCAGTGATATTTCAAATTTTTAGAGTCGTTCTTTATTATTAAATTGCTACAGAGGGCCTTTGATGATATTTTCCCAATTATAAACCCTAAAATACTTTAGAATGCAGTGTAATTTAGATATTTTACAAGAGCTCAATGTAGATTGTGTGATACAGCTACTTTGGATTATCGTTCAACTCCATGAAATAAAAAAGTCCAAAAAGTGAATGTCCTCCACCAAAGAATATAGTTGTGTATAGAAAAGGACAACATTGGATTTCACAATTGCGGACCTAGGTCCTGTTATCTGATTAATCAGCGTGATAAAGACATGAACAAAGACGTATTAAAACTTCCAACCTACTTCCATAACGGACCATCACTGATGACGCGTGGAAAGGCGCAATCTTTAGGTTCATAAACATTTCTTCAATAATGTTTCCTACAAAAAAAATTTAAAAAAAAATCTACTATAATGTTTCTTATCTTCTACAAATGTTAAGAGTGACGCACATACCAATCACTGTTAGATGCTCGTCTTGTTATCGGTCACATGAATATGGATTATGGAGAATTTTAATTAAGGATTATGAATGAAATTAAATTATTAGTTGGCTCTAAATAAAATTTGAAACTTCAATTTAATTTAGTGGATTAAAATAACAATAATTTTTACAATAAAAGAACTAAAGTACTCTTTCACTTATTATACAAAATTATTAATTATTAATTTTTTTACTTCCCTTATTAGTTTATTAATATGAGCTATAAATTATATGAATTTATACATCAATAATTATACAAGACTTGATATAAGTTGTTTAATCACAAAAAATAATATCAGTTATTAAATCATTAACTTTACTTATTAATTTACTAACATTAATTGTAAATTACTGAAAGATATTATAAATTAATAAGTAAAATTAGCAAATTAACAATTAATATTATTATTTGTCTGACAAACGAATATAATTTGAACGGTACTTTGAATTGACAAGTAAGGTAAGAAAATTGATATCTAATGATTTTGCATAACAAGTGACTGATACTTTGAATATTTTTACCGTTGAAATTATTTTCATTTCAATCTCCTTAAATTGAATTGAAGTTTCAGACCTACTAGAAATTAAGTTTTATCCATGATCTTTAATTAAAATTCTCCCTATGGAGTATGTTAAAAATGGAACTAGACTTTGACTTAAGAAAGCTAAGATATTATTGTTTTTATAGTTCAACTTGTTAAATCTACGGTAAAATTATTGCCATAACAATTAAATTAAAAAATAATATTATATGTATATGATATATGTGTGTGTGATATTATTGAAATATTGAACATTAAATGAAATTTATAACATAAAATATAATGTAAAAGAAACTATACATTTAAAAGGAAATTATATAATATACATATATAATAGATAAAATTATATATTTAATCTCATAAAATTAATTAACAAGGTTTTTAATTGAGACACCTTATTAAATAAGGGTAAACATGTAAAGAGTGTATAATTTTAGATATAATAATTTATTGAGATGTATTTTAATTGAAAAAAATTTAAAATGTCTTATATTTTTTAACAGAGAAAGTATATATTACATATGAAAAATATAACAGTTGGTCCTTGTACTTTAATTGTGTTTTGTTTTTAATTCTTATATTTTTATTTCTTTATCTTTAGTCCATTCAATTTAATTTGTCTTTTAAAAATACATATAAGGGCCATGAGCTAGCATCAACAAAGTTAATTTTGCTAATATATCCTTAACTTTATTAACCCTTACTGATGTATGCTGTATCTCACAGTCGTTTCTCACATTCTGTTTAAGTCAAATACAAAAGAAAGTCTTTTTCCTTTAACTTTTGTTTTTTAATCATACCTGGTCAATTTATTTACTTGTAATTAATATAATCTTACCAATTAGCAAAGGGACTCGCAGAGTCACAACGAAATTAAACTCATTAGGGCAAGCAGTTCATGGGGATTAATGTTACAGACTTATCAAACTAAAAGAATTAAGAACAACAGAACAAAACTATAAGAATAAAAACAAAATGCAATGAAAATATTAGGATCTACATTATTATATTTTCTTTAACACATTTACTTGGTAATAGGGAGTTATATCACTATTCGATTATAGGTTTCCAATATCTGTCACGCCTCGAAAATAGAGGATGACCGGCACGGGTGTGAACCACTCACACATCCCCATAGGCCTCAAAATGAAAATTTATTCCATGTTACAAAAGAAAAGAAAAGAAAAGAAAAGAATTAATCAAATTACATGAAAGTTAAAATAATTTTTTTTCATGCTAATTGTCATAAGAAAGTTTCAACGTTTTTATAGAAATTTTGGCAAAACCTCCCTTGTAACTAGGATCTCCCAAAAATTCTACAACAGAAAATTTTTATAGATAACAGTATAAATCAAGAGCGTAACTCCCTCCAACCAGCAACCAATATACAAACCAAAATAAAGTCTATCAACAATCTATGTGGAGTATCTAATCTTTCTTTTAAATCAAAAAGATATATGAATTATATATTTACATCAAAAGTAACAGTACCAGTCAAAAATTTTCACCCACTGTAGTTATATTGCCCTTTAAAGGTAAATGGTGGGGCCAGCATCAGCTAACAAGTCTGAGGCTAAAATAAGTTTTCCAATGAATAGCATTCCCAAGTAAAATTATAAAATTTAAATTAACTCTAATAATAGTGTAAACTAAATAAAAATAATTCAACAAAATAAATTTATAAGTCTGGAAGTCATAATCATAATCGTAAAATGAAAGTAAATTGAAAGCAATATATTTTTATCATGCTTACAGAAAACCATTTGTTCACACATAAATCAGAGTAATGTATTTATTAGCAAAACTCAACAGAACAGGTAACGAATGTAGACACACAGTCCACGAGGATAAATAACCAAACGCGGCTTATACCATAAAAACAAACGTGGACACACAATCCATGAGGGTAAGTAACCAAACACAGCTGAAGCTACGAATACAAACGTTAACACCTAATTTATGAGGATAATACTAACCAAACGCGGCTCAAAGCCATGAAACAAACGCAAGGACAAGGCCCGTGAATAACAAACGTGAGAACAAAACTCACGAACATTAAACTAGTTAGTTATTAACCACAACACGCTACGAGCTAACGAAACTACCGTTAGTAGCAGTATTCTGTTTAAAGTCCTCTTAAAAATTCTATTTTAAACATGCGAGAAAATAATAATTATTACTATAATAAAATTATCATTCTCAAATGCCCAACTTGCATGAATTGTTTCAAATCTCAAAATTTGTCAAAATCATACTTTATAACTACTAGATCAAACTTGCAGTAATTGAATAGCCAATACTTTTCCAAAACTTAACAATCATATAAAATTACATTCATCAATCTTTGAAATATACTTTTGAAAATAATAAATATAATGCACGTATCAGAACTTGTTTGTCATTCATTGATATTTCATAATTTTCAAAATTAATATAATTCATAAGAATAAAATATTTTAAAAAAAGGCTATTAAAAATAAATTAAATGGAATGCTATTCACTTACACGTTGGAGTTATAAATTCTCAAAAGTATTCTTCTTTTAATTCTTGTCAGAGTCTTATTCTTCCACACACCCTATAAAATATAAATATATACAAGTTTAATAACTTTTTAATTTATAACACAATCTCTATCAACCACTATTTAAAATTCAAAATCAAATTTATGATTTCAAGTTAGTTCAAGCATTATTATTCATTCCTCTAACTTTCTCCATAAAACTTTGGCCATGTCATTCTATTTTCTTAGAACAGAAGTTTTCTCCCAATCTCTACACTAAATACCTTAGGTATATTACTTCTACCTTTTCAATTTTAAAACATTCAACAAATTCACTAATAACCAAACAAGTTCCAAGTGCTCCGATAGCTACATACAATCTCATAATCACATTCCTTTACAAACCTATAGGTTAATTTCTAAATTAATAATTTCTATAAATATTTAAAAGTCAAGTTCAATTTCCTCTTACAAGTCTTTCAACAAGCATCTCATAAGCACCAATATTCAAGTTGTATATCTAAGCCATTCTCTTCCAATTTCACTTCAATAATTTCTCTGCATCAGCCATTTCAAATAGAATTAATTTAACTTCAAAATTATGACCCATATGTATATCACTACCAAGCCTTAAGCCAAATTTTCAGCTCAAATTTGAACCTTCTTCTTGCAACGTATGGGCAGCAACAAAATTCTTTCAAAGAACTCTATAATTTCAGTCATCAACTCACACTCCCTCTTATACGGCTCAACAAAGGAAGAATGCTCAAAATCCTCACCTTAATTACCAAAAACAGCAAAAGAGGGAGAGATCAAAAGATTGCCAACCGAACAGGGAGCTCCAGCTAAGCAAGGAAAAGAGGAAGACAAAACACTGCTCAAAAGAAAAGAAAAAGACCAGAATCAGCATCAATTTCAGCTCATGACCAGCACCACCAATTCCGATGACCTAATTCCTTCCACTCATTAGCAACGCGTGGATGTAGTTTACAAGAACAAACTAACAGCCAGAATCGAGTAGAAGGAAGCATAACAAACTAAGAACATAGCTAAGAAACTTGACAGTAGCAACAAAAAAAAAAATCCTATAATCTGTACCTCACCCAATGATATGCTATAAGCTCGAACAGGGAGGAAGAAGAAAAAAAAAAAGATTTTCACTGGCGTTCAGCAACAAGAAAACGAGCTCTCCTCCGGCTAGCTATGGACAGATTGACAGTAAAGGCTCACGCCGGCAATGATTAAGGACGCAAGGGAAGGAAGCAGAGACACAGAGGAAGAGTAAAGGAATGAAGCATGACACAGAGCATTTAACAAATCTGGAATGATCGAAAAAGGGATGAATTTTTTTTATCAGATTAAAGAGGGGCAGTTTGATAATTTTGGAAAGCAAAAACAAAATAAAATCCCTCTTTTGTCTCAGCCAGATTCGAACTTGGGACTTAATGGTTAGGTTGCTTGAATTATACCACTACACCAACACCCCATATTGTTGTATTTCTTCCAAGAATTAATATGATTACCATTAAAATGCAAACTTCTATCTCTAATTATTATTAAATTTTTTTTTTCTTTCTGGGTTATTACAATATCTTTCTTTCTACTTGTGATTTTAGACTGGGAGAATTGCATCCAAGGCCCTCAGAAGCATCATAATATCAGTTAAAGCCCAAAGAATTTTGATTTTCTTCAGCAGGCCCAAAGGCCTTAAGTGACATTAATGTTTTAAATCAAATGATGAAATTACCTCAAGTGGAAAAGAAGGATCACCATGCGTGCGACTCTCCATCGCTCATAAAGAAACAAAGTTACACTTGCCCTTCACTAGAATTGAGTCGTTGGATTCTATTCAGTGGAAGATTGAAGGCGTTCTCTTGACCATTGGGAGCGAAAAGTTGTAGTTGTATGGTCAATCAAGATTAAGTGAGGAAGATTGAAGTTAATGGAAACTCCTAGTGTCTTGTGGAACCCATTTGCCATCGACGAACTCCATTTTTGAGAAGATTGAAGATTGTCGATCTTATAATGGAACTAAGAAAACATTAATATGGTGTCTTTTTTTTAAGCACAAGTACTGCTTTGTTCTGCAAAATTTATAGCATAAAGTTCATGTTTAACAAATATACATTCTGTTTTTAACATGCATTCATTTAGTATATCAAGTTCTATATTTCTCCATGATTGGCAAAAATTAACAAGCAAAATTATATGCTAAGTCGTAGCTGGTGAGTTGGTAAAATTTTGAAATCCTTACATCTAGTTTGGTAGCGTAGATCTATGGAGTTTGAAAGTGTACCTTATGAGCTGCATCTGTGGCTTGGCCATATGCTGAAACAAAGTTACTCTTTTGAACTCAATTCTAGTACACAACAAAAACACATAAAAAAGGAGACAAAAGAGAGAACACTCAGACCATCATTCATTAAAAAAATGATAATTCAGTTTTTTTTCTATCCTCATATGTCACTCACCCACAATGTGATAAGTGGAGCATCCATTATATGGTTGTGTAAATCGTTCCCTCGTTCATTCAAATGACAGGAGAAAATCACACTCAAGAACTTTAGTTTATCATATACAAAGACCCGAACTTATAAAGCCCCATAGGCTTATATTGGGCTTGATCTACTAAGGTTGGATAATCTAACATCTCCCACTAATACGTGGTGGATAAAATATCACCGGTCTTGTCTCATTCTCTCCCTTTTTTTCATACAAAGTGCTTTGTGATGACCTAATAAACTTAACGTTTCCATTTTAGGGATTTGTACTAGAAATCTAATTACAAGCTATCATAAAATAACCCTAAAGCTGATTTGTGGTTATATTGACATTACGCCATGGATGTTCTACATTTATCTTATATACACTTTTCTCTTAGCTAATCTAATCCCTCTTGAGTCAATATAAGACTCAAATTGCCTTTCTTGTATGTAAAATGTCCACACTTATGAAATCTGCAAAATGATACCATAAGGGACTAGTCTCACACACTAGCTAGTATAGGCATGTATATATTAGATAATCTTTCTTTCGCTCATATATCATTGTAACAAGAGATAGTTGCTTTCATAGCACATTACCTACAGATCACATCTATCATGATCATAGGACATATGATAAAATAGCAAGTACTGCATTTTACCACCATAATATTGTCAAAGTCAAAGGACATCAATGAAAGGATTATTCCTTCCTAGGACTCACATAGTAATGAAGTAAGGATTTATTCACTTGCTTCCTAATTGCAATTCTTAAGCACATATAGTATGAATCACATGTTATAGTGTTACTCTTATTTTATAAGAGTGTATGTCATTTTGTTTTTATTGTTAACACCGTATAGACTTAAGTCTAGATACACATAGTATCTAGACCCAAATTCTTCTACTCATCTCATATGACATCAAACTCGATGAATTTGTTGTTTAGCTACTGATATCACATATGTGAGAATCCATGATCATATATATATATTATGGATCTCATCTTAACATACTCTTTATTTTATGTTGAGATGACATATATTTCGTGTTTCTTCTCTACCATATCAACACTCTTGCTGCCTTACTGGTAAACACATATGACTTATCTTTGCCCGCTCCTCTTGAGTGTCAAAGGCAATTGCTCTTGTATGAGAGCCAACCTTACCAACCTATATGACATGCTAGATATTATATACTTTCACATATACATATGAAGCAATGATGAAATAATTTTCATCAAATTGATACTGAATGTATGTTATATCATTTCCTTTACATGCCAATTAAAGAACTTAACATATTTTATATACATTTTCTTGACTATAAGATTTCTAAGGGGATTTCTTATCGCACACTGTGTAGGAATTAATTGTATAAATACGACTATCTATGCTATAACTTTTTATACAAAGTTATAATTTGCATTCATATTTTCAGTCTTGTTATAATACTTGGATCCTTGCATAGCAATGGCTATAGTGTTATTATACACATTTACATTGGATTTGAATTTTCATTTAAAAATCCAAAGTGTTCCATGAAACTTCTTGGTCATGTAGCCTCTTGTATTATTACAATACATGCTATAAACTCAATTTATTTGACAACAGTGCCTTTCAAGTATTTGAAGATCTACTTCACAGCTTTTGAGTGTTGCTCATAGTGGTTGAACTAGTAACACTTTACAACTCTTATCACAAAATGGATAATTTTACTTATACATGTTATTGTGTACTATACCAATAATACTTGTATAGGAAACTTTATCCATTTTCTTCTTCCATTGTTTTCTCTCATTTGTATAGAACATGATTCCTCATTCTCTTCTGAAGTAACTATGAATGCTCCCTCTCTTATATGAAAGTGTTTCTCAGGGACACCTTCTCTATTATTCTCTTATCTCCAACTCACATCAACATATGCTAGGGGGATTAAGGTCTTTATCTTGTTATGTATTGCCTTATCCTGTATCTCATGAAGATATACAGCACACATAATTTCTTCTAGAGTAAGGAATTCAATCTTCAAGAAATGTGGTGTCCTCAATTCAAATTCAATCATAATTCCAACTTTGTTTTCACTCATAAAAACTTAGCCCTTTGATTGCTCATAATATCTAATAAAAATGCATTCCTTCCCTTGTGGACTTTTGTTTTCCATATTCATGAGAATTATCATAGACATATGCAACTAATCCTCATGATTTAAGGATATTTAAATCTAATTTGCTTTTTGTTCATAAGTTAAAGGTTGTGGACATGACTAACTTTGAGGGCACATGGTTATATTTGACAATAGCTATTACTCAAGTATCCTTAACATGAATTTTGTGGACTTGTCTATACCATTATTAACTTAACCATGTCTAACAGTATATTATTTCAACAACTCCACTCTATTATAGAGTATTTAGGATATTTTAACCACTTAATTATCTCTCTCTTTTCACAGAGTTATTTCAATTGACTAAAAAAATATTCATGATCTCAATCAATTTGTAACAAATTTGAAAAATTTTACTTCTTATTTGATTCTATATCTCATTTGTGTTGTCACATCCCAAAAATTAAACATGACCGGCACGAGACGTATACATAGACACACATCCCTTAAGCCTTAATTAAAAAAAATCTCAAATCTAATATCTCATTTTATATGAAATACAATTTGAAAATTATTGTAATATTTTCATTTTCACAAACGACTTCCTAAACCTTCAATAGAAAATTTAGCAAAACCTTCTTTATAATTAAGACCTCCCTAAGTTTCTACAATAACTATATATAGCCCAAATCATAAATGCAAAACTCTACTTCTCCAAAACAGACAGACAAACAAAATTCAGATAACAATCCTTCCTCTAATTAACATAGAGCAATTAATCATAAATTCAAAATATAATATATAATTAAGAACTACATCAAAAGTAATGTATCCTCAAAAGATCTTCTAATCAATCCAGCAATGCGCCCTCAAAAGTCAGCAGAAGGTACAACATCAATTATGCTGTTTGAGAACAAATAAATTCTTTCCAGTGAATAACATCTCAATCATGACATTTTTCAAAATCAAAATGAATAACTACAACATTTACATAAATGAAAGAAAAACAATTCAATGTAAACAAATTTTGTAAACTTGGAATAAAAATTCTATATAACTTCAACATCAGTAAACTTTAAATTTATAATGACAAGGTAGCTTTAACATTGAATCTTGACAAATTAAAATCATTAAATAAATAAATGAGAATAACATTATTTACGAATTGAAAACTATTAAATATAAAATCACCAATTAATTAAAAATTTATGTTTCTACGGATTTATCAGAACAATTCACAAATATGGACACACAGTCCATAAGAGTAAATAACCAAACACGGCCAAAGCCACGAAACAAACGTGGACACACAATCCACGAAAGTAAGTAAACAAACGCAGCCGAAGCTACGAAAACAAACGTGGACACACAGTCCACGAGGATAATGCTAACCAAATGCGGCTCAAAGCCACGAAATCGAATGTTAGTACAATACTCACGAATAACCATCCCTCCGTTCCACATGCATTGGCCATCGCAAGGGGCTAGCACCTCCTATGAGCACCTTACTAGCTAGGTGAACCATAGTGTGCCAAGGGCTAACAGAACTGCCGTTAACAACCAGTGCTCTGTATAAAGTCTCCTTCAAATCTATTTTCAAACATGCGAAAAAATCATCAATTTCACAATAAAATTTTCATTTTCAAAGTCAAACTCGCATGAATCATTTTCTATATCAATCCAATGTTCAATAGAATGAAATCTCATAATCAAAGTCCAAACTCATATTATTAATTAATTAAAATTTCAAAACTAATAAAGGTAATTTCACAAAATAAAGAAGTTTAATAAATAAATTATTCAATAACCACATCTTTGTTACTAAAATAATTTTGCAAACAAATGTACTATTATAGTAAAGGAAATCTTTATTGAAAAATCAATTGGGACGCTATCCACTTACTTGACAGTTCCTAAATTCAAAAATATAATCCTTCCAAATTTCTCTTCTTCTACATACCTTATAAAATATAATAAGGTTTAAAAGACTTTCTACAAGTTTAATAATCTCCCTTCCAAAATGAACACCTCCACAGTCAATTTAAATAATGCAAAATTTTCCATACATCATAATTTTTTACCACAGTTTCTCTATGATACTTTAACCATAACTAATTATTTAATTGAGATTTAATTCTCTATTAGACCTATTAACAAACACATAGTGTGCGTTAGTTTTCAATTATTGTCAGACCAATAGGTCCCCAAACATGCTTTCATAATCAAATTTCCCTTCAAGGATTCATTTAAGCTCAATTGAAATTCAACCCATTCTCATTCCAATAGTTTCCAATGCCAATTTGAATTCATCAAACTTCTCATGTAAACTCAAAGAAATTTAAATCTAATTTCATCTTGCTGTAGTGAAATTATCTATGGCAACTCATGTTCTTAAACTCAAGTTTTTTTTTTTTTTATTAACCTCATTTATCTCAAATCATCAATGGCAGGAAGAGGACAATGAAAGAAAGGAGAATAACTTGCCGCACTGGGCAGGGGAAGAGCTTTAACACTGTTACCCAAGGAAGGAAGAAAAAGAATCCATGGCCATCGAACCAAGAAGAGAGTATTGCAAGAGAAGCTTCCAGTTTTGGAGACTTGGCTCCCAACACACCAGCAACAACACGCAGACGGAGAAAAAATACAGAAGGAGGATGACAAAACAGGGGAGGGAAGAAGAGAAAAAGGGAGAAAATCTTATGCACCTTCAATCTCGGCCAGCGACTGCGACGAGCTAGAGGCGTACCCACAGTCATCGACTAACAAACTAAGAGGGAAGACACATGAAGGAATCTGGTTCTCTCTCTCACTCTTCCCTCTCTCTAAGGTTCTCGAAAAATCAGGAAATGGAGGAGAAGGCCCGCACGTTCTGATCTCTTTTTTCTCTTTCTCTTATATTATTAATATTTATTTGCAGCAGTGGCAAAATGATAATTTTGTGTGGATGAGGGAAACAAACACGTGACTTAGTAAGCAAGTCAAGAGAAATTGCACTAATTAAGCTACTCACGCATCTTGTTATTTTTCCCAACAAATATACAAATACAATAAATTTATTTTATTATTTGTTCTAACTTGATAATTATATTCTAAGTTAGTATAATGTAATACAAAATAAAATCTATATAACTAAATATCTAAATAAAATTTAAATAACTAGATATCTAAATAAAATCTAAGCAATATTATTAAATAGAAAATATTTAAAATAAAATAAAAATAATATTTAAAATTATTGGGTTATTACAAAAATTTATTTTTTGATAAAAAAAATTTAGGATCTTACATGTGTATTATCTAAAGCATATAAAAACTTCAAATTTGTGATATAAAATATGTATAACCATATTTTGAATCATCAACAATTTACAAAAACTTTATGATTTGCCCTCACACCATTATAAAAAAAATAACAAATTAGTGACGGAAATTTATTCCGTCACAAATTCATTGCTAATTTGCTAATGGAATTTAGCGATAGAATGTTTTATCACTAAAAAATTTAGTCACTATTTCATTGCTAAACCGTTAGAAATAATTTTATTGATAGCATTTTGCAATAGAACGCTTTGTTGCTAAAAATTTCATCATTATTTCATTGCTAAACCGTCGAAAAGAATTTAGCAATGGAATTTTTTGATGAAAATGCCCGTCACTAATTTTTAGGATACATTATTCTCATTTTGTGACAGCATTTGTGACAAAAAATTCCGTCACAAACCTTTCCATCATAATTCCATCACTAATTGTTTTAAATTTTATTATATGATTTATAATATATATGTTTAAATAATTTATTTAATAATTTGTTATTATGCTATAAATAAATAATTTAATAATTATAATTAATTATTTTAATTATTTAGATATTAATGTTAATAATAATTATAATACTTTAAATCATATATTTAATTATGTTTTTGATAACATAGTAACATACCTAATTATTGTAATTTAAAAATAAAAATATCTTAAAAATAACTTAAAAATATAAAATGTCATACTCCTCCCGTTCAAAAATGTAAGGCATTTTATAAAGAGTTGGATGTTCAAAACTATAAGGCATTTTTAGTCTTTCAAGATGTAATTATTACCTTTTTTCTAAAAGTATCCCTATTGATAATGACTTTATTTTTATTATAGGGTATTTAATAGGGGCAAAAATAAAAAGATAGGGTTAGTTGAAAAGTCAGTAACTATTTTATTAGAGGGTGAGATTCGGTTAAAATATCTTACATTTTTTAACAGAAGAAGTATATTATAAAAATTATAATAAAATATGCAATGATAATAAAGTATTTGTTCTTTTAATATTAAATTTTTTATCAAAAATAATTTTTTAAAATTATAATATAATGTAAAATATGTATTATATAAAAAATTAATTTATTTTATTGATAAATAAAATAATTTTAAATAAAATAAATATATTTAAGTTATATATTTATTGATATATACATATATCTATAATAGTGGTGGTTAAATACTATATATTTAATTTATTAATTAAAGACTAAAGAACTCCTTTAGCACAACTGGAAATAAAATTGGATGCAAAGGTTCATGAAAGTGTGAGGTTGTAGGTTTGAATTTGGCCAAGGCACATTTGAAGTTAACATGTGATATGTGATGTGGAGGTGACATTGAAGGTACATGGTGACATGGAGGCGACATGGCAAGGAGGGGTGATGAGGTGGTAATGACATGGCGATGAAATGCCACTAGCCCACTAAGTGATGTGGCAATGGTGATTTTTTCATAGAATTTTCATTTGCAACTGATTTAGCAACGAAATGCATTCCATCATAGAATTAGAATAGGTTATCTTTGTTTTGTGATGGAAATTTTTTGTCACTAATTCCGTTGCTAATTAATGACAGAATTATAATTACGTCACTAATTTCATCGCTAATTAGTGACGAAATTTTAAATTTCATCACTAACGAATTAGTGATGGTGTTTTTATCGACAAAATTATACCTTCACTAACCCATTTAGCTTAGCGACGGAATTTGTATTGATTAGTGATAGAATTTTTCGTCACTAATCCACTATTTTTTTGTAGTGCACTTACAACACCAAATAAATTAAAATGGAAGAATTTGTAATGGATATTTTATTTTAGTTCCCTTACCAAAAGGTTTTCTCATTGCTCTTATCAGCAAAATAATTCTCGTACAAGGACATTTTCTCATTAAAAACCAAGTCTAGCATTCCTCATGTAACTAGTTTTACTCATTCATTTCTAATCTATATGTCCTAATCTTAGCATTGTCAATTGCTCATATCAATATTAGAGTTAAAACAATCATAAAAGTAATTGTTACTAATAGTATCTAAAGAACTTCATCAAAAGAAAAAATTGAACAAAAATAAAGTGCTCGTTTTGTAATATCTACAACTTTATCATAAAAGTTTACATTGAACACATAATAGAAAAAATTAAAACAAAGTTCCATTAGTTTTTTAGCACTTAAAAGACACTAAAAAGAGTCTTGGTCTTTTCTACTAAGTAAAGCAAATTACTCGATTTTGCCTTGTTACCAAAATAAAGCTACTTGCTTTTAATTTAGCAACCATTGTTACTCTGTGAGGGATCCTTAGTCCATATCATTTCTGCCTGTGGGATTTGAGTCTACAATTCAAGAAAAATAAATAAGTTTTATTAGAAAAATAGAGTACTTGTCACATCTTAAATGTGTGAATCGACTCAATTCATTAGTACCTTATCTTGTTTATTTTGTTTAGAACTATCCCTTATAAAGTAGCCCATTTTTTGGTAGGTATAGCATTCGACCATTCTTAGTTCATCTTTCTTCCTACCTTTCTTGCCTTTCTTCTTGAATGACTTCTCATTCTTGACATTCAAGCCATCTTTCTTACCCTCCTTATGAAACTTCTTACTCTTTTGGGACTCAACTTGGGTGTTAGAAGGACTATCTTATTCAGTTATGCATGCCTTTTTAAAGGATTTACAAGCCTCAAGCCATCCTTCCAAATGTTTTGTTATGTTGTCAAAATTAATAAAGTTCTCATTATGGGTTAAATTCACTGTCATGTGTTCCTGGTTATAAGGGAGTGAACTTATAATGGCCTGAACTTGCTGTTCATTTGACCACATGTCTAGCTTCTTTTTGTTCCTAGATCATGTTAGCTATATCATGCAAATGCTTGCTCGTGGGAAGTTCCTCCAAACTTATCATATAGGTGTCAAGCTTTATTGTCAACCTTTTTAGTTTAGTAGTGAAAGTTCCTCCAAACTTATCTGTATTTCTCATACTCACACATCAAGTCATCATTCATTGCACTCAAAAACGTAATGCATGCTATGTTTTTTTCTTTCTCCAAGCCATGTAAACCTCATGGTCCCTCTTATGCTAGGCAATATTTGCAACTTTGGGTTCCACCATTGTCATAGTCAATGTCTCAATTGCATCTTGTTCCTCTAATATGTATGAGACGTTTTGATGCCAAATATCCCAATTGTCCCAATTTAGCTTATTCCCTTCGTTCAATTCAACAATTATGTTCTTGGTAGCCATTCTCAATTCAATCACAAAACTATTTCACATAAATAGTATTTTCTAATATTGAATTGAACCAAAGAATATTTCAGCAATTTATCACAGGAAAACACACAATGTCATGTTCTTGTATCATTCTTAACTAGGATAAAAAAATGAAAGCATTTGGTCCATGATCATGATATTAACATTTATCAAGAGTTTTATGCAAGTGCTTCAAAATAAATTCTACAACTCTTAGAAAACTCATTTTCTAAGAGCTCCCACTCAAGTGAAGCATACAATACTTATATTAAAGCATTTAACAAAACAATGTCTAAAACATGCTTCATGCTACTCAAAACAAACACATGGTCTTTGTACATATTTGAAACACAAAATCAAAAAGTATATGACAATCATATAATTGGGTACTTTAATGCATTCTTTCACTTACCATTTTATCATTTTTATTTCCACAATAAAAGCTTTTATCTCCATAAATCTCATAAGGAGTTTTGGTTTCATCATTTAGATAAATTGACTCTTGTTCTTAACTTTTTCAAAGTCTATTGAGGACTTTTGTAATGCCTTATTACTTGCCAATATGGTAAAATTCCATATGTTTTTCTTTTTAACCATGTTCCAATTTGGGAATCAAGAAAACCATAAATGGCCTTAGCCTTACTCCAATATTCTTCAACACATTTGATTACTTGGAGTTTAATTTTAATCCTACACAAATGCAGAGTTATCACTTTGTCTCCCTGGTTATTCACGATTAATCAGATCCCAAAAAGTTATTAGAGAGTGTATTTGGTATAGCATTTTCCTAAACTTTTTCAAGGAAGAAAAATTGTTCCTCATTTATTTGAGCTCATTTAAATGATCAATACTTCGCCTAAGAAGTGATTTAGAGAAACTAATTTATGGTCTATTATTAAAAAAAATCTATGGTTGTTCATATAGCCTCTCTTTCTTTTCCATATTGGAAGCGTTCTATCCATATTAATTGTGAAATTATATATTTATTGTACTTTTATAGTTATTATTTTACTAGAAATAATTCACTTTCATTAGATTTTGGCTCATATTTGGTTTGGATCAATAATTGTCTTAATTTGGATCACTTTTTGAATCCTTACCAAGTGGTACTTTTGTCTATATAGGTTTCATTTCAAAATTCTCACTCAAAAGATCACATTCTAGAATAAATGTTTTATCTGAAATACCCTTTAGAGAAACATACTCCAACATTTCAATACTTTTGGTCGACTCACAATTCATATTTATCCATATGGTAAATAATTTTAATAATTATAGTTTTTTTATGATTTTAAATACTTAAAATTTACTCTCACAAGCATTGAAAGCCTCTTAAGTTGATTCAAATATGCCTAAAAATAGACAAATTACATATGCCTAAAATATATATCTCAAATTTTGGAATTTTTAGAAATATACCACATCTCAATTAGATACTCCATGCACCTACATGTGCCCCTAGAACAAGTTTGGATCAAAAAATCTGGAAAATTTGAAAAATCTAGCAAATTCCACTCTCACCAATGAATAATGGGAGCCACACGCAACCCTAAAAACTTTAGATGACTACATGCGCCATCTTTTTGGACTCCACAGGCCAAGACCTCTTGGATGGTGTGGTCCACATGTCCATTGGGTCTTCTAGTGGACCCCACTTGCCACTTGGCATTTTCCATTTTTTTTAATATTTTAAATAATTAATCTTATTATTTTATTTTGTCACCCAAATCCGAACCTCTATTTTTTTTTTAGAAATTTTTTTTTACACCAGGCCCTAGAATGATATCAGGTCCAAAACATGAAACTCTTTCATTTGGGCCTCACCCTTTCGGCCTAAACAAACCATAATTTTTTTTAAGAATTGGGGCAAAAAAGCTTAAGCCTAAATCCGATTTTCTCATCAACTTCAGTTTTCGGACATGTCAAACAACACATCATTTTGACGTTGACCGAAGTGACACGCCATCTTGGTCATCGTCTTCCTCCAGCCAGGTCACATTGACTCGGTTCTCCGTCGGGAAACTTTGGAGGGTCATATATCCTCCATTTGATATCCGTTTCATGCATTTTTGGTGTCATGTTCATTTTTTTTAGTTATACATGTTAACGGCCTCCATTTGCATAAAAAACCTCCTTTTTAATGACCCAAGTTTGGGTTTCCATTCTTTGTTCCATGTTTTTGAAGCGTTTTCTCATATAGGATTTAAAAACAAACATGTACAGTGTCAAACAACGCTTACATTGACCCAAGAAGTAGCAAAGCACGTTCATATGACGAGTATGTAATTGAAATAGAGATCAACCACATGTGGAATAAAAACTATAGAATGAGAAAAAGCAGTACGGTGAAAATTTTCATGTATAAGGATAAGAAAACCATTTTCTATCATCAGACATAGAAAAAGCATAGCCCAGAATCATGTAAGCTGTTATACCAATGTAGATTTATGGAATTCAAAAGCGCACCTTATGAGTTGCCTCGGTGGTTTGGACGTTTGCGAAAATGAAATTACTCTTTCGAACTCAGTTTGGGTACACACAGCAAAAACACAAAGAAGAAGAGAAGAGAAAAGATAGAACACTCAGATCATCATCCATAAAATGACAAGTCAGTTTTTTCTATCCTCATATGTCACTCACCCACAATGTGAGAAGTGGAGCGTGCATTATGCGGTTGTGTAAACCGTTCCCTCCTTCATTCAAATGGCATGGGGAAGATCATACTCAAGGACCTGGATTTATCACATATAAACACCCAAACTTTCTCATTATACTAATAAAGCTCCATGGATTTTTGTTAGACCTAACTCACCAAGGATAGATAACCCAACAAATAGAAATTTAAATTGTAGTTATAAATTTATCAACCCATGAAATTTTGGTTTGGAATAGGTTGATCTCGAAACTCACCTTGGAGAAAATTTGATTATGTGTTGTGAAAATATAAGCATTGTCTTGTGAAATATTAGATATTTAATTGTGAATTTAAGAATACTTATTATAATTTACTTGTGAAAGTGCTCACCGAAAAGAAATGTATTATGTATTTTAAAAACATGAATGTTGTTTTGTCAATATTGAATGTTGAGTTGTGAATTTAGAAAATTTTTACTTGGTGATTTATATGTTACGAAAGTGTGAGCTTGCTGAGAATAAAAGGATTTTGTTGTGAAAACATGAAATTTGTCTTGTTGACATTGGATGTTTATTTGTGAGTTTAGAAATTCTTTACTTAATTTACATGTTAATTATGAAATGCTCGCTCAAAAGAACTGAACTTTGCGCTGTAAAAACATTGATGTTGTCGTGTTAATTCTGGACGTTTTGCTGTAAATTCTGAAAATTGGATTCATGCAAGTTCTATACCCATTTTGGCATCAACGAACCTCATTTCTGAGAGGATTGGAGAATGTCAATCTTGTAATGGAGCCAAGAAAATATTATGGTGTATTATTTTTATAACACATTCTAGTGTGGTCTGCAAAATTTACAATAAAAAATTCATGTTTAACAAGCAGGTGTTCTATTTTTAACATGCATTCGTTTAGTATATCTTGTTCTGACATGATCTGCAGAAGAAACATTCATAGTTTTACAAGTCAAACTTCAATTTTTATAGGGATATGTAAGGTTTTTGGCAAGTGTATATGCGGGTGCCTCGTGAAATTGCAATATTTTCAAACAAAATTCTCACCCAAATAAAAGGTCTGGCTCAGATGTGTTTCCTCGACGCGGCAAAACCTTCTGTGGTAGGGGGAAAAAAAATACAAATACAGATCCAAATCCAAGGAGGGTAATCCTGTTTCAGCTTACAGCAGCATAGAATAGAGTAATTTTACATTTGCAACAAATGCAGCAATCAATTAACAAAGTTTATGCTTAACTCACTGTGAACAAAACAGGAAAATATTGCCGTATCGCGTGTTATGATTTCCTAGTTTGACTATGTAAGTGAAGTAGAAGATCATGTGAATTAAGGCTAATACTGTTATGTTTTACAAATCCGCATCAACAGTGAAGAAGACATTACCCACATAAATGAAGCAAGGCTCCAGTCCCAACCTATGCTTCGTAATTATCATGGTTTGCTGACGTGGATGGTTTAATCACTTGGGAGAATATAACTCACGCCGGTTTGACCAGAACGAGTAAGCACTTCGAACTCTCCAGTAGTAAAACATTGACCTTCCTTGAAAATAGGTCGTTTAAGTTCTACATATGCACAATAGTCTACTTCATACACCGTGGCATTATTTAAGAAAGCAGAAACAGCCACTCCAACTCCTTCCCCTGCACAGGCGCCAATAATTTACAATTCAAATTGGAACTCTTCAAGAAAAAGGCAGCTTATCTAGACAACTGATTAGCAAGTTCCAACCCGAATTTGCTTGTTTGAACAGTGACAATCTAACGGGAGTGGCATTAAGATGGATGACAAAGTCTGTGTCTCACCACTTCTTCCTAGTGAAATAAAGTCCGTTGTTGCTATTGCTGTAGTGACAATCTATCCCTGCGTAATTTGATCAAAAATCAATTTACCTACTTGTGATAGAAATGTATTATTTAGGCCACTACGGTTTATTTTGATAAGAAGTCAGTCAATAATAATTTAAAGTGAGATTAAAAGATCAAATTATACCTCAAGTAAAAAAATTTAGATATTTCAAAACTATTATTCAACATAATGAGGGAATTGATGGGGATACTGCATATAGGATATAAGCTAGATGGTTTAATCAAAAAAAAACCTAAAGGAATTATTTGTAATCGAAAGGCACCTGATAAACTTGAAAGGGAAATTTTATTGAACTACTAAAAGACTAGCTATGTTACGTGGTATTGAATGTTGGGGTTTAAAGGAACAGTAAGAGCATAAAGTTGGAATAGTATGCATAGATGAGAATATTAGGGAGGATGTGTAGGTATGCACGAAAAGATAAAATTGAAAACAAGCATGTACTAGAAAAAGTGAACATGGCATCTATTAAGGTGAAAATAGTAAAAAAAATCGTTTGATATTGATTTAGATATGTACAAATAAGGCCGTGGGACCCATAAAGAGAAAGGAACAGACTATTTTAAGCCCTATGAAGAGAGGTAGAGGAAGACTAAAAATAACACTAAAGAAAGTTGTTTAATCAGACCTCTTAATTAACGATACTCCTAAAAATTTAGTTAATGATAAAAACAATAGCATCATGGAATTCATGTAGCCGATCCCATCTAATGAAATAAAGCTTGTTGTTGTATGGTTTATTTAAACACCCTTTGATATTTGGATCTAATTTTAACAGATATAATGGTATGTACGACAAATTGAAGAACAGTTAAATTGCCAGGCATATTCACTTATACATTGAATAAATTCAGTCTTATGAAGCCATGTAGATGATATTTGGAAACACGGTATTAGCATAGTCCTAGTTTTAGTGTCAGAACATTATAAAAATGTTTGCAATGGACTTTTAACACCAAAACTGTCAATTTTTATTTAAGAATCACATGACTATTTTCTTGAAGAGGCAAGCATACTCGCTCATGACCATAATATATGTTATTATTAACTAATTCATAATTTGCAAAAAAATGTTAACTTAATCCTCATTTTTCTAAAAATGTCTACATCTTTCCATTTATACCCTTAAATTTTTCTAGTAACACGTGCATGGTCTTTAAATACAAAGTATTTGAATAAATAAAAAAAACAAGGGTATAAATGAGGGGGAAAAAAATAAAATTGACCCAATACTCTATGCTTTGGACCAATAAGTGTTTCTAGAAAGCGACTTATATTGTGGTCTAAATTTAATGCCAAAGCCAATGGGAGAGAAAATTATAATTCACCCTTCTTGTTTTACTAAAATCTTTCCCATTGTAAATTCTGTAATGAAGGGGAAAAGATAAGAAATTTGTTCATTATGAAAAGGTGCCTTTGCCATAAGTTAAAATAGACAAAAGAAATTAAAACCTTACCACGCGTGACAAGCAGCAAATTCTCAGTAGGATAATTATCCGCAAGGTCCTTAAGTACTTGCTTATATCTAGCCCTTGTATCCAAAAATGGCTCTTCCCATTTGGGCAACTGGTGTTTATCAGGCAAAAATTACATCAGTCACGATTGAAATGTGCATTTACCAAAAATAAGTATCTATCAATAAATTCTGAGTTGAAAAATATTAGATCCTATTTGGTTGCTAGAAATAATAGGAATGAAATGAATTGAAAAAAATCCAAATAAAAATAAACTGAATCACCTTTTTCCCTCATGATAAACACAACAAAATTCAATATTATATACAATAAATATGAGAATCCTCATATTCTCCAAAAATATCATGAATCATGACTCTCAATCGACCAATCCCATGCACTAAATTACCCTTCTCTCTTATGAATATAATTCACCTATTCCCCCCTACATTTTGATCATCCTATTTTTTATTTTTATTTTTTCAATCCATTCCATTTCATTTCTTTCTAGCAACCAAACAGGACCTTAAGTCCTCTGGCTATACCTCTTTATACACCCTTTTTGCATTCTTATCCACTGTCCCAGCTGGGAGCATTGCTTCACGCTCTGTGACATCAAAACCCCAATTTCCATCTTTAGGAGCCAATGCAAGATTGATGGCTTCTCTGCTCATCATCTCACACAATCCAAGTTCAACAGAGACCTACAGTTGGTCAAGGCCAACAATGAAAGAGATGATTTTAGCACCGCAATTCTACCAGCAATCATTACTCGCATCACAAGTATATAAAACAAAGTTACTGAGCTAGAATGACGATATCAAATCTCTCCAATTTTACATATAAATCACACCCATTTTCTATCATGAAGCCAAGTCTGAAATGTTACCTGAATATGTACAAGTATTACATATAGATAAATCAAAGTAATTTATAAGAACGCAAGAATCAATCAGAGGTAAATCTGTGTATCAGCACCAATCTAATCAGAATCCGAGTTTCATCTAATTAATTATCTCTTATAATTCAGCAATGACTGCATGAACCATCCTTGAAAGCCAGAAAACCAGTTCACTGCACTGCGGAGAACTGAAATTTAGACTCGTGTGCTGAAGTAGTTAGTCGAAACAGAAATCACTTCACTGCAGAATTCATAAAGTTATAACTTTGTGAACTTTTTTTAAGGGCATTGTTTGTGAGGGGGGAAAAAGTGTGAACCAGAAATCATAAATGTCTTCCTTGATCAAATTACAACATAGAAATAAAACTAAGGGTTCATTGAAACTCTCTCCAAAAATAGTAGTAAATACATAATTGCAATACAATTGTCAGAATTCAGATAAAAACTCAAATATCAGAATATGGCAGAGCATAATTCCCAGCAGATCATATGTAAATTACTTTTAATAGGTATGAAACAAAAGGAAACAGTCAACAATGAAGGACTAAAAACTGTGATCGCAACACCCAAAAGCCAACAAACCACCACCGAAAGGGACATAAAAGAAATTACACACTCTCAGTGTATCTATAGTTTAATTTCAATGTTTTAGACAATTTTGATCTCAAATTTCAGAAAACTAAGGCTAAGTCTGAAATTTCTTTCAGTAAGTAACTTCAACGTATCTTAAAAGAAAATCGCATCCAAGGATAAGTGAAGAAAGTAATTCACAGGTAAGGACGAATAACAAGCCACCATTCGAGAAAAAAAAGTCCGTGTTCCCATTTTAACAACAATCCATTCTTTATTGGTCATTGTTTGCGAATAACTTTCTTCACAGGTTTTTGGATGCAATTTTCCTTATCTTATAACCCTAGTGTTAGATTTCAGCGCATGGTAAATACCACAAAACACTTTTGTTACAAAAGCCACTACCACTACTTTGTTACCGGGGCTTCTGGAAGCAAGTTCAGAAACGCTTGCACTTGTAAATATCCTATTTCAATATTCAAAGAGAAAATTCCTTAACAATGGTACACCAAAAGACCAATGTCTAATAGCAAGAAAGAACATTGACATAGATTTTTGAATACGACATAAACAACACTACAAAACAAAACATTAATCAAGTACTTTAGCAGTTCCCCCAACCGGGCGCTCCCCCCCCCCCAAAAAAAAAAAAAAAGTCAATTCAATCTAAGGATGATCTTATCAAGGTAGCCTGCAAAAAGGATCTCTTCTAATATAAATGTATATTAAATGCTGTTCCTCAAACTTTAAGGTTGTGTTTGGTATCTTGAAAAGATTTTTAAGCAATAGGGTGGGAGCACATTGGATGATTGGAATGGAATGAAAATGAATGCAGAAAGATAACGTTTGGTATGCATGAAAGAGGGGAGTGAATGTTTACTCAATGGTGCAACAGCAATGGAAGAGGATTGAAAATAAACAAAGTGAAAAAAGACTGAAATGATCTTCTACACACACACACAGACACACAAAATGCAGAAACTCATTGGGTTTTGGAACTTTACATGGGTTTTCCTAGTAATAGTAGCATTCCCTCAAATTTCGAGGGAATGATTTTATGGTTTCGGCCTTTCAGGCTCCCGTAAGAATAAGAGAGAATATTATTCTTGCATTCCAAACACACTTAAATTAATTCCATTGACTTTAGTTGGATTAAACTCATAAATTAGTTACCTAAATTTTGCAACTTTGCACCTCTTGATAAGAGAGAAAGAGAGGAGAGAAGAAAGGAGGAAGAAAGAGACTATTCCATTGATAAATGATCAAAGAGGCAGGGCACAGCACATATGCCCTAAACCTAAACACGTGTAAGGTCCTACACTATCAATACTTTTCTAAAATTCAGCAACAGATAAAGAGGCAGTAATAAAATCATGCATAAAGATAAGAAAGCCCTTAAATAAAGCAGTAACATATAACAATACTCCCTCCCTAAAAAACATCCTTGTCCACAACGATGGAAGTAGTAGTAGGTGCATGAATATTGAAGTGAGGAAATTGTTGTTTGATGGCTGAAAGATCTTCCCATGTGGCATCTTCGGGCTAAGAAAACTTCCAACAAATAAGAACTTGAGTGATGGGCAAGTTATGATGCTAAATAATCTTCCGGCCCAAAATTTCATTTGGTTCTAGCATAAATTGGCCATGATCATCAACTGATGGTAGGGTAGAATGAAAAGTAACATCAAGATGAACAAACTTTTTTAACAAAGAAACATGAAACTCTGGATGCACCCAGGTGTGAGGTGGCAAGTCCATCTCATAAGCAACAGATCCAATGCACTTCAGCACTTTGAAGGGCCGAAAATAACAAGCAGCTAGCTTACGCAAGGAAGAATTATTCAACAAATTCTTCTAAAAGGGATGTAATTTGAGGAAAACCATATCCCCCACATTGAAATGCCGGTCGAAACGGTGCTTGTTAGCTTGTTGCACCATTTGATGTTGAGCCTTCAACAAGTGTTGCTTCAATAGTTGCAAGGTGAGCTCTCGAGCGATGCAAGTTCTATCAACCATCTCATTGGACGAGTCACTCGCGATATAAGGCAAATGATTGGGAGGAGTTACACCATAAATTGTCTCAAAAGGAGTCATCCCAATCAAGGAATGATAGGTGGTGTTATACCACAATTCAGCTAGTGGGAGCCACTTAACCTATTGTTTTAGGAAATCACCAGTCACGCAACGGAGATAACACTCCAAGCAATGATTAAGCACTTCTATTTGGCCATCTGTTTGAGGATAGTAGACGGAAGAAAAGTGCAATTTGACTCCATATAATCTAGAAAGTTCCTTCCAAAATTTGCCACAAAAGATTGGATCACAGTCCAAAACAATGGATTTGGGAAAACCATGCAACTTGACAACATTATCCACAAATACACTAGCAACATCCACAGCAGTAAAAGGATGCTTCAAGGCCATAAAATGGGCAGCCTTAGATAGGCAGTCAACAACCACAAGAATAGTGGTTTTAGAGTAAGACTTACGAAGGCCACTAATAAAGTCCATAGAGAGTTCAAACCAGACGTGATCAGGGATAGGTGATGGTTGGAGAAGCCCTGGGGAGGCGCCCAACTCAAGTTTAAAGTGTTGACAAGTGGTGCATTGCCGCACATAGTTGCGGACATCTCTCTCCATTCCTTTCCAATAAAAGAAAGAAGCTAATCGTTTGTAAGTGGGATTCATACCAGAATGACCACCAATAGCATCAGCATGAAAAAATTGAAGTAAATCTTCTCTGACTCCACGATCAGCCCCTACTACAAGTTTACCCTTCCTTTTCAATAAATGGTGCTGCCATGTATACTTAGAATTGGACAAGGGGTCATGTTCGAGACTCTTAATTAGTTGTTGTAATTGATCATCAAGGAGCCAAGAGTCACGTACTTTGTCATATAGGGGAGAAATAGGTGTAGAAATAGCCAAACAATTCCCAATAGAGCGTCAAGAAAGAGCATCAACTGTTGTATTGTCGCAACCCTTGTGGTAGATGATGTCATAGTCGAGTCCCCAAAGCTTATAAAGCCATTTACACTGCTCTTGGCTTAAATCCCACTGTTCTAATAAATGTTTCAAGCGCAAGTGGTCTGTTTTGATAATGAATTTTGGCCCCCAAAGATAACAACGTCATTGCTTGACAGCAAAAACAATAGCTAGCAACTCATGTTTATAAGCAGATAATTGGTGCTTGCGAGTTGAAAGGGACTTGCTAGCAAAAGCCAAGGGGTGACCCTTTTGAGATAGAATTGCTCCCAAACCATATCCTAAAGCATAAGTTTCAATCACAAAAGTTTCATTAAAGTCGGGAAGGACAAGCACTAAGGGAGAGATCATAGCACTCTTGAGGGATTCAAAGGCTACCTGAGCTTGAGGAGACCACACGAAACATTCATTCTTCTTCAATAATCCAGCAAGGGGGATACTAGTAGAACCATATCCCTTCACAAAACGTCGGTAATACCTTGTGAGACCAAGAAATCTGCATAATTCCTTGACCGAAGAAGGAATAGGCCAAGAGGCTATGGCTTCCAGTTTCTTCGGATCTGCCTGAACGCCATGAACAATGATGACATGGCCAAAATAATCTATATGGTTTGCTGCAAAAGTGCCCTTAGAGGCCTTAGCAAACAATTGATGGTGCCGTAACGGTAATAACGTTGCTATCAGATGATCTAAGTGAGCTGCCCAATGTTTACTGTAAACCAAAATATCATCAAAAAAGACTAAAATAAACTTTCGCAAGAAGGGTCAAAAAACTGAGTTCATATGACCCTGAAAAGTAGCAGGAGCATTAGTAAGGCCAAATGGCATAACCATAAATTCGTACAAGCCATCATGAGTATGGAAAGCTATCTTGTCAATGTCCACTTGATTCATTCGAATCTGATGATAACTGGCACGCAAATCCAATTTAGAGAAAAATTGAGCTCCAGTAAGCTCATCCAAAAGTTCCTCTATAATTGGAATTGGAAATTTATTCTTGACAGTAGCCTCATTCAACCTTCGATAATCAACACAAAAACGCCACGCACCATCTTTTTTCTATACTAAAACAACTGGAGCAGCGAAGGAACTATGGCTTTCTCTAATAATCCCATTGTCAAGCATCTGTTGTACTTGCTTCTCAATTTCAAATTTCTAAATAGGTCTATACCAATAAGGCTTGCAAGAAATCGGATGATTCACTTTGAGGGAAATAGTGTGATCAAAAACACGTGATGAGGGTAGAATGGAAGGCTCAGCAAACACATCCAGAAATGAGTTTAAAATAGCTTTCAACTCAAGCTGCCGATTGGCAGAAAGAGATGAGTTCTGGGAAGATTGTACCTGAAGTTGAAGAGGAGCATGAATGAGGTAGAGAGTATCCGTTGGTAACCAAGGACCATCTGAAATGGGTGGGTGAACAATAAGGTCTGGTATCTTGCACCCTATGCCGTGAAATTCAATGAGGTTCCCATCTTTGTAAAATTCAAACAAATTTTCAGTCATATCCATAGTAAATCGGCCCAATGACTTGAGCCATTGTGCCCCTAAAATCATGTCATACGCCCCAATATTCATTATTAAGAAATCAAAAGAGAAGACAGAGTCGCCAATTTCCCACTCTAAATTGGGGCAATACTGTGTAACTAAAAGCTGGCGAGTGTCTGCTACAGTAATACGAACTCCTTGCTTTTTTTGAACAGGTAATCGGAGTCTCTTAGCCAACTTCGAATCAAGCACGTTATGAGTGCTGCCAGTGTCAATCAGAATAATGACCTGTTGACGCTTAACCCGTCCAAGCAGACATAGGGTCGAAACCCCTTCTCGACCTTCCATAGCATTAATAGTGCCCGTGGGTTCTTCATCAGTTACTTCTTCTTTGACATCTTCAAAAATGCCGAGCTTATCATCCACAAGCAGAGCATAGAGTTGCGAATCTCAACACTTATGACCATTGCTATAACGCTCACCACACTAATAGCAGAGGCCCTTGGCCTGCATTCGTCCATGTCCTGTTTAGAGAGGGTCCTTTGGGGCTTGGAAGAGGCCGAAGATACCGAGTTTGCTGGAGGAGATGGTTCAAGCTTTCTCCAATAATGGGCCAAGGGACGAAGTGGGTTTAGAAGGGAAGTCTGACTTGGGACTCGAACTGCCAGCATAGGAAACCCGAGAAGGATTAGCGGCCTGGAACATGGACAAAGAGTGATAACGATGCGATGAAGACATGAAAACAAGGGCATGATCGTGAATGGCCTGAATCGCGGCAAGAGTTTCATTGCAGTAGCTAAGGAAGATGGTTTAAAGCTGAGAACGCTCTGTTGAATGTCACTCCTCAATCCACCAATGAAGCAGTTCATCGCAGCATCATCCGATAAGTCTACTTCTGTCAATAACTCATCAAACTTCTCCTCATATTCATCAATTGATTCACCCATCTGAAGTTTCTTAATGGCAATCATTGAGTTGTCATCCTTAATATCCCCAAATTTGGCCTCCATTTCTTTGAAGTAGTCATCTCAAGAAATGTTCGATAGTTGTCTCTGTCTCACAAGAGAGATGCCAATACAATGCACGTTTCTCCAGGTGAATGCTTAGAAGCCTAATGCGATGTTGAAGAGGAGTTTCATCAACAGCAAAAAATTGACGACATCGGTAAGCCCATCCTCTAAAGTCAGTACGGTCAAACTTAGGAAATGCAACTCTATTGTGTTTGGTCGAAACTGAATATGGGGAAGGAGGTGTAGGAAGCAGGCCTTGGAATGAGCCAAATTGTGGTGGAGGGGTGGAAATGGGTGGTGGGGGTGCTGAAGCTGAAGATGAAGGTGTGGCAAGACGTGAGAATGGTGTTTAAGGCAAAGTTGGAAGTGGAATGATGACGGGTTGGAATGGTGGTGACATAGTAGGACGTTGGGCAGGGCCAATAAGAGGGTTGGAGGGCTCACCAATCTCAAAGGTAAGTGGCTGAGGAAGTTGAGCTGCCATGGTTGAAAGTTTAGCAGACATATCTGCTAAATGATCGGAAAATTTGCCAAGCGTCTGTTTCATTTCTGAGATATTGTCTGTGTTCTGTCGCACTAACATAGATTGCATTTCCAAGTAGTGTTCCAAATCACTAAGCCTTTCAGTGGAGGATCGCATCTCCGGCGGAGCCATGGCCGGAGAAATGGCTCTGATGCCAAATGATAAGAGAGAAAGAGAGGAGACAAGAAAGGAGGAAGAAAGAGACTATTTCATTGATAAATGATCAAAGAGGCAGGGCACAGCACATATACCCTAAACCTAAACACGTGTAAGGTCCTACACTGTCAATACTTTTCTAACATTCAGCAACAGATAAAGAGGCAGTAATAAAATCATGCATAAAGACAAGAAAGCCCTCAAATAAAGCAGTAACACATAACACCTCTAGTCTCGATATTTGTATCCTCTAAATTATATTAAAAATATTTGAAGACAAAAGTTTATTAGATATGTAATATTTTAAAAATGGAGATAATGATCACTTGAGAAAGCTCGATTACCTCGAATATAGACAGACGCACAACCCACTAGTCCCCAAAGTCTTCAGAGAGTGCAGAGATAATGGAGCAAAAGAAAATGTATCGTATCGTATGTTTGCGGTTATCGATTGATCGACTTATAAGGATCAGATCAGTAACTGCTTTATTAAATAATTAAATAATTGATTTCATTATCTCTGACTCAATCAGTTAAGAAATAGGGAATAATTGACAGCTATTGGATTGTGGGTTGAGCATCTGTCCATTAAGCTCACTTGTGTGGTTCACCTATCACGATCCACACAATCCACACAAGATCACAAAGATCAATCTTTTTTGGCTTATTAATCAATGTTAATTCACAAATGAATAAATATTCCAACAAATAAGATATTAGAGCATATTTACATAAGATAACAAATAAACATGTCCAATATAATTAAAAAAAATGACAATCAACCTTCTTATATTAATACAATTTTAGTTTTAGTATAATTATTATTTTAAAAATTTTAAATTATTATTTGCTAAAAAATTATTAATTTTTAAATTAAATTATCCCCCACAGAATCCTGGCACCGCCACCTCTAAGTCCTTTAAGTTTAACTCACGGTGGCTAAAAAAAAAAAAAACCAAAAACTAAAAAACTTCAATCATAACTTTGCCTACAAGCATCTAAAATCATATTTTATTTTCATCCCCAGATTATCAAAAATAAAAAATAAAAAATAAAAAAGGAAGAAAGACGGTATGACAAGTTGACTTGATAAGTTATATGTTTGTCATCTTCCAAAATTTAAACGTGCAATCCAAATTAATAACCAAAGCTATAATACAATTTAAGCCACAAAAAAAAAATCCATAGACCTTGACTTTAGAAGAATCGATAGTTACATCATCACCGGTCAGGATGCTGGGATCGTCGTGAAGGATGCAGAGAGAAGAAACGACCTCGGAAGCCGTCTGGACGCAGCGGAGGAAGGGGGAGACGAAGACGCGATAGATCGGATACCCGAGAAAGCGGCGGAACTTCCGACCCGTAACGAAAGCCCGAATCTGGCCATCAAGGATGAGGGGCGGATCCCAAGGCCGGGCTGCGTTGGTCACCCAGGAAGGATCGAAGTTATCGATGCGATCGCCGTGCCTCATTACGACGACGTTTTGGTAGAAATCAGGAAGCTTGTTGTGGGCTCCCTTGGAACCCATTTTCACGGAATGTACAGAGCAGAAGAAAGAGAATGGAAGTGTGAGGTTATTGAACAATGAGGTCGGGTCGGGTCGGTCGGGCGGACGAGAAAGGGAGGGATCCTTGCTGAAGGCTTCGTTTTTCTTTTTCGTTTAGCCGGACCTTGCGGCGTGTTTGACTTAATGGGAGGGGAGAAGATGGAAAAGTAATGTTTTTATATTACCTTATTCAATTTTATTGGAAAAAAGTGAAAGAGTTTTTAATAATTATTTATTTAATTTATAAGGAGAGATTATGATTATGTTATCATTATATCTTCATACAAATTTTTTTTTAACTTTTTATCATATAAATTAATTTAATGTGTATAATTATTTAGAAAAAAGCATCTTATTAATTTTTTTAGCTTTTTTTAACGTATGCTTGGATGGGTGACACTTTTATCAACAATTATATAAAAGAAATTAACACCTTGTGTAAAAACTTTCATAAAAAATATTATATCTGTTGGCCATTGAAAATAAATTTGTTTTCTTATGTCATAGAATAACACATCAGAAAAAGCTTTCAATAAAGATCAAATGATTTTAATACTAATTTATAAAAATAAAGGACTTAAATTGAATTAAAATTTATTATAAAAAAATAAAATTACCTCTTATTTGTATGTATATACTTTTTTAACAACAAATCTTTATTAAAAAAAATGTCTTATTTTTATTTTAACAATTATTAATTCTATTATTAATAACTTCAAAAAAATTAACTTGATAGTGGAGATGAATAAGTGTTGTGATTTAATAAATAAATTTTAATTTAAAAAAATAAGCTCTATTTTCATTTTAATAATAATCAATTTCTTTTTTAACAACTTCAACAAATTAACTTGGTAGGAGAGATTAATAAGTATTGTGATTTGGTAAACAAGTCACCATTTAAAAAAAAAATATGTCTCATTTCCATTCCAACAATAATTCATTGATTCATGAACAACTACAAAATATTGACTTGGTAAAAAGAAATTGTTCTATTCTGATAAAAAAATCTTGATTCGAACAAAAGTAAGTCTTTTTTTTCATTTTAGTAATAAGCAATTCTCCAATTACAACAAATATACATCATGAATAATTTTATCTTTCATAAAAAAATTTAATTATATTTAAATTTTTTAATCCTACATAGTAATATTAGAATCACTTAATTATGTTTAATAATCTTTGATTGTGATTTTTCCTTTTTTTTTTCTTTTGACAGTCCCAAATTCAAAAAATTTATTGCGTGAAAAATGAAAAGCTCACGAGACCCAATAGTTAATTAAGGAAAAAGTAATTATTTAACTCTTGTAATTTTGATTCCATCCTAATTGATTTGTCAAATTTTACCTCATTGCAACTTATTTTCATAGTTTTAATTCAATTAAGGCTTAATTTCTCAATTTATTTTTTTTTTTTGGTCACGAACTCGGTCTTTCAATTTTTACTTAATGCAAGTTAATCCTCAGAGTTTTATTAATTTAAAATATTAATGTTTTAATAAATAATTTTAGCCCTTATAATATAGGGACTCATATTTTAAATAATTAAAATAATAATAACTGATTTACACTTAGTAAAAATTTAGGGATTGAGTTTCAAGACTATAAAAACTAAGCAGTGAATTAAAATTTAAAGATTGAATTTCAACTTAATTAAAATTATAAAATTAAGTAATTAATTTTAGTATTTTACCATTAATTAATTGTGACGGAGATCCACTTGAGTTTTTTTTTTTTTTAACAAAACAAATTCATTTCCCAAACAATCTTTTAATCTGGAATTCACAACTACTCCCCCGGTTAACAGCTTATTGTTTTGTTTTTATTTATAAACAAAATCACATTTCTTGATATGTATTTATTACAATTTGTTTTAATTATCCCTCATAAACTCATAATTGTCATTCATAAAGAAACAATTAACGCATTCTTATTAGGGTATGTTAATCCATTTTTTTATTTTTAAATACAATTATTATAGTTAACTAATTTTTTTAAATTATGTAATACAATTATTTCCTCTCATATATAAAAATCGAGAGAATAGGGAGTGTGTTATATCATATTTATAACAAATATTTTTAAATTTACCACTCCCTCAGTTTTATAAGATACTTTTGGAATGATTTTATATCTGAAAATATATGATATTTTGAAAAAGAATTTTATTGAATATACTTGTTTTAATATTATTATTTCCTCTTTATTATATTTTCTCTCTATTTAATGTTTTACAAATAAAGTCATATTAAATGAGGGATACTTTTAAAAATTTACATTTATATTTTATAAAAATAATATTATAAAGTATATTTGATGAACTTTATTAATATATATAAATTTATTAAAAAATATCTTATAAATTGAGACGAAGAAAAAAATAAAAAATAAAAAATTTGGACAATTTAAAAGAATAAAAATTAGAACTAAGTTTCGATCCACTAATCATTTTCATTTATAATGAATCTATTAGAACTCAAAACTTTATTTTGACAAATTTGTCACTATCCTTTTAAAATTTATTAATTATTAATCATTTGCATCAAAAAGATTTTTTTTTTTGGATAAAAGATCAAATACAAATGACACATAAATAAAATAAGGAATTAAAATGAGAAGAAAAAAGAAAAAAGACAGTTGTCCTAGTTTACAAGAAGTAGCTATTAAGAGTGTAGGACAGCTATTATGATTCGGAGAGGTAACAGGAGATTGGTTGCAGATGTTGACTTCTTTAAACCAAAAGTGCTTTTGATGTCCGACCATATGACACATCCAACGTTACATTGTAGATCATGTGAGTTAATCGAGGAGTTAAATATATTTATGATTCTGCTATTGCAAATACTATTTCTTTCCATAGAAATAATCTAAAGCAGAGCAGATCTGAGGCAATCAATGGCAAATTTTGAATTGAATGTAATCTCCCTTTTCCTCCACTTCAATCATGGGATCATTATAAAAAGAGATATCAATTTGCACAGTTATTCCATGTGAAGAGTTTTTCTTCGAACACGGAACCTTCCAACCTTGGATTGGTAGTCGATGATGTACGTTTAGAGAAAGACCGATCTTAGAAGCACCTTCATTAAAATTAGAGGGTAGATGATTTCCCCAGTCATAGATATGTTCTAGGAAGAAGCTCCTATTAGCAAAATCCTTTAAAAGAATATTGAGGGTGACGATGAAACCTTTTAGGAGTAGGTCCTCTGATTCTTTGACTAATGATGTGGTAAAATGCTTGATATCTTCAACATAATTTGCTTTTGATATGAAACCAGTCTTCAACCCTAAAGCTGCAAACCATACTAATCTTACAAGAGGGCATTTAAAAAAGAGATGAGGAATAGATTCCTCATCATTACATCCAAAAGCACAACAATTTGCCACATGAAAATGATGCTTATTAAGGACATCAATAGTTGGAATTGCTCTGTTAATGAGCTTCCAAAAGAACAATATAAATTTGTGTGATAGGTTAACTTCCTTAAGCAAGACTAAGGAAAAGGGTCGGTCAATTAGTTCTCAAAAAACTCTTGAGCAAGCAGATGATATCTAAATTTAGTGAGATAAGTCCCTGAATTATGTCCATTCCAAATTAATTTGTCCTTACATGAAATCATGGAGATCCTCATTGAAGTGAAATGAAAGACTATATCTTTAGAAAATTGAGATTTGAGAAGATCCAAGTTCCATTGACGGGGATACCATGGATTATTTGAGTTAAGAATGAAATTAGATACCTTAAGACAATTCTGAGGATCAGCCATAGGGATGGGACTTGGTGTATAAAGAAAAGGGCCTTTGATATGGATGCTTTCACTTGATCCAACTTGCCAATTTAAGTTATTGCTATTGATGTTGTTGCAACCAAGAATACCTTTCCAAATCCAGAAGGTATTGTGTGGAATTTTAATTGCAGACCTCATTTAAATCCACATATTTCTTTTTTAACGTGGAGCCATTCAGAGAGATATCTGAAGAGTTGATCAATCTCCACATTTGTTTTGCCAACAAACTCTGATTAACCAGTGAGATAGGTCTAAGACCTAAACCTCCCAAATTTTTTGAACGAAACAGCATAGACTTACTTGCAAGGTACATCCTCTTCTGCCCATTTGAATCTCCCCAAAAAAATCAACACATTTAGCATCTATTTTGTTGCAGATTGCTTTAGGGAGTTTAATACAAGACCCTGGGTAGCTATTAGCTGCCGAGAGAACAGACTTAATTAATGTCAACCTTGACACTTGAGCCATGGTATTAATTTTCCATGCAGCTAATCTTTTGTTAATGTTTTCAAGGAGTTGATTGTAAAGGATAGATTTATCTCTTCCTAGATCAACCCATGTATCAAGGTATTTACCAAGCCTTTTTCTCAAGATGAACTCCAAAAAAAAAAATTGCCCAATCTTTTTTAAAATCAGATGTAGCACTTGGTAAGGCAATAAGTGAGGATTTAGAGTAGTTAATTTCCTGTCTCGAGAGAAGACAATAGGTATGCAAAGCTTCTTTAACACCAATAAGATTTCTTCTCATACATTCAAAAAAAAACCAGAAGAAGGGAGTCATTTGAATATGAGAGATGAGAAATTGGCCTTGCATTATCACAGATTTTGATGCCTCTCCATATACCTAAGTTTTCCTGTTCTTCAATTAGGCAAGAAAGAATATTTGCAGCAAGAATATATAAATAAGATGAAAGAGGGTCTCCTTGCCTAATACCTCTGGATGGAGTGATTTTTCCTGAAGGATTCCCATGAAAGAGAAAATGATATTCAATAGTAGAGATGCACTGTTGAATTAGATTTATCCCTTTTTCAAGGAATTTCATCCTTCGCATGATGGCTTTAATAAAATTCCAGGAAAGCTTGTCAAAGGCTTTAGAAAAATCCATTTTAAGAGTAGCAAGCTTAGTTTTCCTAAAAGAGGAGTTTTGAATTTGATGCATTAGATCAGAAGCTAGGAGAACATTATCTTTAATCAATTTGTTCTTTAAAAAAGCACTTTGAAAGGGCAGAATGAGGTGATCTAAGATTATCTTTAGCATATTGCAAAGAGTCTTTAAAAAGATTTTATAGATAGTGTTGCGAAGACTAATAGGCCTTAGGTCTTTGAAAGATTGCACATTTTCACCTTT